TTAAAGGCAAGTCGGAACGCTTTATTTCTTGCTGGCTGTGTGACGGGCTTGCCCATCTTAAATGTGCTGGAGTGACAGGAAGAATATTGGATTCTATTCTTGATAGTAAGGACTTGCGCTGGTCTTGCATTAAATGCAGACCAACTGAAATTAATTTATTTTTAAGCAGGCGCGCAGTAATTTCAAGGAAATTGGCCTTGAGCTTGAAACCTTTACAAATAAGTTTAGGTATTATGAAAGGTGTTTCAATCATTTAAATGCCTAAATGACCAGGAAGAGAATCCGAAACCTTCCAATAAACGTAAACGTCCATCTGACGAAGAGACCACTGCATCTTCCTTGAAAAGAATGCCTTCACCCAATATTGTACTCTTCAATCTTTCTTCCCTTTGTCCATAAGGAGAGAATGTTTCGTCTGCTCAGAATACAGAGAAAGCTGTTACTGAGCATGGTAAGCGAAAACTTTCTCAGGATCCGCCTCCAAATAACTGTAAGTCAGGTAATAAGAATTTAATTGTAATACCGCTGAAAAAGGCAATTTTTATCTCGAGGCCTGCTGCGGATACCACAATCGATGATATAAAAAGTTGTATCTCGTCGAAATTAAAAACGGGAGATACAGACATCCGTAATTAATTTCAAATACAACAGGGATATTTCGTCGTTTAAGATCGACGTATCCGCTGACAATTTTCAATTGATACTTGACAACTGATTCTGGCCATTTGGGATCTTTGTGCGCGAATTCGAGCACAAACGTGATAAGCCTCCTGTAGTTGGCTAAAATGCCAAGAAATCCCATGGGTACAAGAAACTAATTAACAATAATTCGCTGATTATTTATTTTCAAAATGTTAGAGGTCTTAATAAAAAACTTACTGATCTGTATTTAAATAAAATTCATTGTAACTTTAAATCATTGCTTTCTCTGAAACTTGTCTAAATCCTCACATTTTTCATAATGAAATATTCAACAGCGAATTCGAAGTCTTTAGATATGACCGACTTAACAGAAAAGGAGGTGGTCTTGTTTGCTGTTCATTCTTCAATTCCATCTGAAGAAGTCGATAGAATTTAAGTGCATTCGTATATGCGCTAATAGTGGCCATATCTACTTAACTCTATCTTATATACCGCCTCACTCGAACATATCTGTATATATGCAACATGCTTCATTAATAAATCATGTTTTCTCAATGGCTGATAATACTAATTCCATGATTGTTTTTGAAGATTTCAATCTACCGTGCTTATCATGGAAATCTATTGATGATTACACCATTCCTATTAATACTCGCTTATGTTTTAAGGAGTTCTTAAATGAAATGTCGAAGTTGGGTCATAATTAAATTAATTTAATTTCAAACGAGTTTGGTAAGTTCTTAGATCTAGTTTATGTTGATAATGTTTCAATGTTCTCTGTTGTCCGATGTGATGCTTTGGTTCGGCCAGAAACGCGTTCATCCTGCTTTGGAAATTAACATCGATACCATAGCCAACTTTGCTCATAATAATACACAAAACCTTTGTTTTCGATTCAACTTTGCCAAAGCTAATTTTAATAAGATTAATTACGAACTTTCTAAAGTAACTTGGCCAGATTACAGTGGCAATATTGAATTTAGTGCTTCCCACTTTAATGAAACTATTTTAAACCTATTTGATAAATATGTTCCGAAGTGTGTTGTTACTCAAACAATGAGTTCTAATTTATGGTTTTCGAAAAATTATGTAAATTAAAAAATAGAAAATCTCGTGCTTCTAAACTTACAAAAAAAAAAACTGGTTTAGTTGCTGACCATTCACAATATTCTAAATTGCGTCGACAATTTGCTGAACTTAACAATATATATTATAATAATTATATAAATAAAGTAAAAAATAATATTATACGTACTTCAAAATTGTTCTATTGTTTCGTCAACTCCAAACGCAGGATTTCTAGTTTTCCGTCTGCAATGAAATATAAGTTTCTAATATGTTCGCTGAATTCTTCACGTCTAATTACTCCCCAAAATCTCCAAAAAATGTTCCGCATCAGCACAAGTTATGTCAGATTTCTGTCATTAATGCACCTACCATTTCTAAAGCAGACGTCTTATATCAGTTGAATATGTTAGAACAATCATACAAATATGGCGCAGATTCCCTCATGCTTTCTTAAGAAATGTGCCAATATATAACACCAACCCCTAACAAAACAATTTAATTCATCTCTTATGCAAGGCTTATTTCCATCTATATGGAAATAGTCATTTATAGTTCCTTTACATAAGAATGGATTTAGGTCGTTTATTGAAAACTATAGGGAATAGCAAAGTTTTCTGCAATACCTTAACTTTTTGAAGCAATTATAACAGACGACATAACCTTCCGGATCTCTCCACTAATTTCCTGTTCTCAGCACGGTTTTCGTAAGGGGACTCTACAATAACTAATTTGCTTGAATTTGTATCACATATGTATCACAACGGGCTTTAGGGAGAATGAAAATACTGATGTTAAATACATAGATATTAGTAAAGCTTTTGACAAAGTAAACCATTCAATTCTTTTGAATAAACTTGATCTACGTTTTCAACCAATATTTCTAAAATGGGTTGCTTTTTCTGACATAATCAATGTTCCTTCAGGCGCTCCTCAAGGTAGCCATCTTGGTCCAATTCTGTTTTTGTTATTTATTAATGACATATCATCTGTTGTTCAGTTTTCAAAAGCTTTATTATTAAACAGCGAAATATGTTAGTTGCAAACAGACTTAAACAACATAGTTTCTTGGTGTGATAGAAATGACATGTCATTGAACCTTAAAATATGCAAAAGGATATGCTTTTCACGTACAGCTGTAGACCCTACTACATACGCAATACAAAACTTTAGGTTGGAGCAAGTATGCAGTTTTGTYGATCTGGGAGTAACTATGAACCCCAAACTCAATTTTAATCTTCACGCATCTTCCGCCGTTTTTAAAGATAAAAGCGCTCTTAGTTTTGTTAAACGTTGTTCTAAAGAATTTAGAGATCCGCTTACCACAAAAATTCTTTTTAAATCTCTGGTGAGGCCTATGTTAGACTGTGCTTCTGTGGTATGGAACCCTAGTTACCAAGTCCATTCAGATAATTTAGAGTCCGTTCAAAAAGAATTTTTGCTTTTTGCCTTAAATCATTTGCATTGGGATTCCAGTTTATTATTTCTTGTAAACCTAATGAATGGGTCAGTCTGTTGTTCCCGCTCGCTCTACCAGGCAGTTTAGACCCTTGCTTTTAAAATTATCTAGAGCAAATTTTGAGTTAAGCGAACCATTCCGCCGTATATGTCATGATTTCAATTTTCATTCTAGCACATTTGATCTAACAGACTCACTCTTTACCATTAAAAAAATTATTTTACCTACTCTTAACAAGTAAGATTTAAAAATTATAAACTTCAATCTAATTCTTAATTTTGGCTGCTGAAATTTTTGTTCCTGTAGCTGAGCAGCTTCAGATCGCAATGCTTAAAACTGTCATGCTTTTTATGACGCGGTTGGGCGGGAGGAGGGTAATCGTTGGGTATTATTATTATTAAAACGGTCCTTAAAATTTTCATTGCTTTATTCATCCAATAAAATAAAATATAAAATTCCGGAACTCTTTGCAAACTTCAACAGAATTGCTTCGAAATAGAATAGATTTCACAACACCCCTACGTGATAATACCTACATATGTATGCATATTGATTTTAGTCGCAATCGGTATTCTTTATACTGCATCAGCTTTTTGTTTTTTCCAGCCGGCTTTATATCGTGTACGATTATATCGGTCAATATGTACATACGATATTTAGAAAAATGTAAGGTCATCAGAAAGTTATTTATTAGGTATATGAGATCTAAGGAAAGTATTGACCCGATTATACTCTACATTCTACTACTACTACAAAGTTCTTCCTAAATTGAAATAATATATCTGACAATTGGACTATTTTTTTTTTTTTTTTTGTGTAAAAAGTTCGCCAAATACACTGTCGACCACATTTTTGATATATGGGGAGCTGTTTAATATCGACAATTTTGTTACATCACAGACTTATAGGCACTATATTTGCAAAGTTATGTTTCGTATAACTTAACTGGTGTCTCATTTATACAAGAATATTGTAATATTAAATAATCAAATGAAATTTAAAGTTTTTATATATGGGAAATTTTCGGGATTGTAATCAAATTTTGACTATTTTCATAATGTGATATTTTAAAGACAATATGTAGAAGGTCTTGTTCTCGGCAAGTTTGGTTGATTTAGCTTTAGTGGAGATATACACTTTTCAGATATGTACTATATATATTTAAAACCACGCCACTTTTTTCAGCCTACACACGTCCTATTACTGCTTTGGAAACACAAAGAGCACTAAAATTATTTATTTTTTTACTGTTCTCAAAATTCACACAAGATATTATCCTACAAAATCTCATTAAGCTAAGACCACGTAAAACTATTCAACACGCACTCATTATTTTTGCTTAAGCCCCGTGGTGCCTAATTGCACGATGTTTGCAGCATCCAAAAGAAAACGTCGGAGACGCTATTGAGTGTATATACAGGGTGGCGCACGAATCGTGCTACAAAAACAAACGATGTTATATTTTTTAATTCATTAATTAATTACATTTATTTTTTATTGTGTAACAAATTTTATTGTATTTTGTATAATTAATTATTTTAAAAATTATGGACCGTAAATGACTTCATGCTCAACGACGTATATGTGATACGTCATTAGAAAATTATTCAATACGGTCTGAAGGGTTGATTTCGGTATTGTAAGCTCACTATTAGAGAGAAACTTTTTTGGGTGAACATTATTTTTACTGCCACTGCCATACTTAAATCCTTAAAAAAGTAATATTTTATTCTTAGATGGCGGGAAAGCTATTGACTTCATTAATTCGATTCACCACAACTTAATTTAAATTAACTTTTTCTTCTTCTAATAAAAAAATTTATTTTTTGAACAGAAGGATAAATGTCAATTTGCCGCTGAGCTAGCTGTTGTAAATGTAACCTCTTGGGCAGTACTCCCGACTAAGGATGAAAAAGCTATAGAAGCGGCAGTAGCTCACATTGGACCGATACCCATATCTATTAACGCATCACCACGTACATTTCAACTATACAGGTAAGTTTCAGTTTTTTCACATATTAATCCAAAAAAATTTTCTATTTTAGCAACCTGCTTAAAGAAAAGCAATTTTTAACGTAAAGACTTTACATTAAAAGATAAATATCAGTTATCATGGGGAGCTAAAATAATTTTTATTGTCTGCCTAATCGTCTTTTTATGGAATCGATAGCTCCCCACAAAAATTAGAAAAAACGTTAATTAGAGCTAGAACAAAAAGAAGTTTCCATACAATGACTTGATTTTGATCGTTCAGTTTGTATGACAGTTATACCTTTTACAAAAATCTATGCCAATTTTTGTGAAGATATACATCTTGCAAAATCTAAATGTTTTGCATACCTAAAACGAAGCGAGATAGATATAGTTTGCATATACAAGCATAATAAATAAAGTATTTTATAAATGATATGGAAGACGAGACGAGTTGAAGTCCGGGTGACTGTCTGTCCGGCCGCAAGTCCGTCCGTGCAAGTTGTAATTAGTTGAATTAGCAAGCCGACCATTGGCACGAAGCAGACCTTTTGTGTCTAGAAATGGGTTTTGGATTAAGAGTGAGCTCTTTTTATATTTGTAGTAATATATCGCGGCTAAAGTAGGTGATCCCTTTGACTTGCGTTTTGAGTATTTAACATGTAAAAAACTACTCTGAGCTCGGGAGAACTATGAAAATCGTTTAAGGATGTCGACATCATCAAGTAATGTGCGAAAAGTAGCGAATTTTTGACCTTCTGGGGCGATTATGTTGTGCATGGGAGATTGGGGCCAATCATCAGGAGATTCTATTTACAATTGCATTTGGTGGTGGTTTTTCTAACCAGGCTAGTACAATTTCGGATGTTTAAATACATTTGCTTCATGGATACTAATTTGGAATGTAGCATTGCCACATATAGTAGCTCAAGTCGTGGTAGACTTAGCGTTTTTAAAGGAGCCACTTTTGCTTTTGTTACTAATAAATGCAAGTGCAGGTGCTTGTGGTCGCGGTGTCACTTTGTGCGCGCACATAGATAGTAGCGCAGTATGCTTTCTGGGAGGCGTCACAGAAGCCGTGTAATTCGTAATGTATTCGGGAGAATAGTTTATCCACGTACCTGAGAAATTAAGATTTTCGTTTGTGTCGTAATTGGCGAAAGCCATCCTGCGGGGTCGAAAAGTTTTGCCACMGAGGATAAAATCTGTATTTTTGTTAAGCCGGATAATGCGGATATGGACTCAGTCGTGTATGAGAACTGGTCCGATATCGGATTCCATTGGATGCCCAGAGTTTTTATTGTACTTTCCTTTTCGAATATTATATAAGGAAATTAGTGTCCAACAAATTTTCGTTTGGTACATTTTTAAGTATATTTGAGTAATTTGCTGTAATCATTTTTAATGGAAACCGTGAGGATTTGAGTATCTTGTGATAAAGATTCGTATGCGTGTGTAACCGTGTGACTACGAGACAGAATATCGTCTACATACGTTTGAATTTTTAACACTTCAGATGCCATAGGAAAATCTGACTTTGTGTTTTCTTCCAATTCGTGGAGTGTTCGAATGGCTAGATATGGTGCACAGTTAAAAGTTTTTAATTTGGAGTCGCGTAGTGGACTGGTGGGTATCTTCGGAACATAATTCGATTAAAATCTTGGTCGTCGACCATTTGTCGATACCATTTTTCAATGTGAACTTTGAATAAGTAGTTGAATATGCCCCAATTTAATATGAGGAGCATTAAATCTGGTTGGACTGTGGGTCCCGTAAATAGAATATTATTTAGAGTATTTCCCGAGCTAGGATTTTGAGGCAATGAAGACAATTCTTACTCTTGTTGTTTTTTGCCTGGCTTTACTACAGCATGATGTGGCAAGTAAAAGGCGTAGTATTGGCTGTTTTCAACTTTTTCCCCTGGATTTACTTTCTCCATGTGATCTAAATGGAGGTTTTCTTCTAACACACAATTATATTCTGATTTGTGTTCACCTCTTTTAAGTAGGTTTTTCTTCATACTTAAAAACTGTTGGTTAGTAGAGGTGCGGGAGCGACCTAAGGAGAGTGTGTTGGGAAATTCTGGCTTTAGTCGTAGTCGTACGACGTACATACCATCACCTGGTCGAGTAGTTGTGGTTCCGTAAAAATTCTCACAATACCGATCTTCAGGAGTTGTGATTGATATGGGGGGAGTTCTTCGAACTAGCAAAATTTTCTTAACTGCGAATAGAGGTATTCGTTGGCGATTTCCTCAACTTGAGTTGTCATTGTCATGACTGGTTCCGAAATTACTCCACTTAGGACCCGCCCGAAATTGGTATTTTGCGTCAGAAGTATTTTAGTAATTTTCTCAATACCTTATAGAGTATTATCTATGGTATGAGATCGTTGCCTAATAGAAGATCTTTTTGAGCGGGAATGTTGCATTTGGGGTATGCTAGGTGTGATACCTTTCCCCAATGTCTGCTATCTAGGTTAATTCTGCTTAAATGCTCTTATCCGCTCGAGGGGAAATTAGGGTAATTGGGCAGATTTTATAGAAGTTTTGAACTATTCTTCAGCCCATTTCCGTAATTTCAAAATTGGCCAATTTTGTGCCATAGATATTATGAATGATCGCTGTGATCCTTGGTCTATTAAGGTCCTGATTTTAAATAGTTCTCCTCGGTGTTCGATGGAGACGACTGCTGTGGGTAATAGTATCCTACTGTGATTTGGCCATTTAGCATTTGGGTTTTTAACACCCTTGAGCAGAATGGTGCTTCCTGGCAGTTTTATAAATTTGTTGTTGCAACTAAACCTGTTGCTCTTTTCCCGTTTGCGCTGTTTTGGGACGAGTTGGAAAAATTGGTAATATGTAATGTATAATGCCGTGTATGGCAATAAACGCAATTAAATTTGCTTTCACAGTCTTTAAGCATGTGTGCATGTGATAAGAAGTTTGTACATAGTCTTTTTGACTTTATAAAATTGTTTCGGTCAATTATATTTAATTTTTTAAGGTTCTCGCGAGATTTAAGTTTATTCCCATCCGTGCATAGTTCGCATGACGTTTGCTTGTACTGTTCAGATGTGAGAGTTTGATGTTTGAAGAAGCTTTAATTAAATTGTTGTTGCTACTGGCTTGGGTCTTTGGAAGCTTCTATTAAGGTAATTGGAAATACATATTGGTTTAATTATCTTTTTATCAACCCCTTCTGCGATTTCCTTCTGGATAGTTAGGAAATCTTTCATTTGCTGCCACGTATGGCACTTTTTCCTAGATGAGAGAGATTGCTCCCATAGCAATAACGATTTTTCTGGCAATGCGGCGGTGCATATATAGGGTCCAATTGTCTGTGGGAACGTTTTGCAAAGAACGTAAAATAATAGAGAACGTTCACGATTAGGGATATTTCAGTTTTGGGACATTTACTGTTTTGTTTGGCGTGTCTTACCACACCACAGAAAAATTATTGGCTTGTCTTACTACATTTAACATCAGGGGACACGAAAATAGCAGAATTGAGCATTTTCAGTATTAAATGGGAAAAATTTTGCTATTGCCGATGTTAAGGAATGTACGCTTGCAGATTCACATATTTACAATGCGCAAACGAATATGCATATAATTAATAATTTTTTTTGTTTTTTATAGTAGGAAGAAGCATCGAAAGCCGGAGTGCGGATCTTTAATCCGCTAAACCTAACCTACTCCCAACTCAAGACTCTCCCACGGAACCACCAGATAGGGTATTACTTCATGGGAGTGACAAGACATATTACATCTCCATACTCTGCTGGAACTGTCTTAATGTAGTCTTGATGGAAGTATCCGCGTCGCGAACAGCTATCCACTTGCCAGAGGACAGTCAAGTTTTCCACCGTTAGGCTACCACCTAGTGCAGTTTCTCACTTTTCACTTATGTTTCGAAACCGAAGACAATCTAAAAACACATGTTCAGAGTCCTCTATGGACTCCGCACACATCGAACAATACGGACTGACGTCATTTTGAAATTTGTATAGGTAGCCTCTGAAGCACCCATGCCCGCTTAATATTTGGGTCAGCTGGAAATCCAGGTCCCCATGTCGTGTATTTATACACATATGGATGTCAGGAATAAGTCTATGGGTCCACCCGCCTTTAGTTGTGGTTTTCCACCGTGGCTGCCATATAGTTATGCTCTTCTTTCTCTCTTCTGTCTTTTGGATTTCTGTAATTGGCGCTGATAGCTCATATAATCTCGTGAGCTCGTCACCCTGGATGTCTATGGGCGGCATACTAGCTAGTACTTCGGATGATTCGCTGGAAATAGTTCGAAAAGCACTTGTTACTCTTATTGCTGTGAGTCTATGCACTGCACTTATTGGTTTGGCATATGCTTTTATGTTTAGTGCCTGTATCCATACTGGAGCTGCATATAGTATAACTGAGCTCACAGCTTTTGCGATTAGAAGTCAGCGGCTGGAGCGCACACAGCTTCTATTTGCCATTATTCTTGATAAGGCGTTGCTATATTTGCCAAGTACTGCTTGAATTTCAGCTTGGACTCCAATAATCTCGCAGTCTCCTTTAGTGAGAGATATTTTTTCCTCAATTTTCCTGGTGCTTATGAGCGAGGAATTGCTTTTTTTTGCTCAGCCAGTTCCAAACTCTTAGAAGAAAACCATTGGCGTAGACCACTTATGCATTCACTATATTTATTTTGTAGGTCATCAAGTTGTTTACCTACTTCTACCACTATAAGGTCATCCGCGTATGCGATTAGCTTAACGGTTTTAGGCTGTGGAGTTCTTAGCTGAGGGGCGCGTATTCTATATAGGGCTTCGAGTATATTTTTCCATTTAACAGAGTTGAATGCATTTTTGACATCCAGGGTGATCAGAGCACAATATTTTTTTGCCTTTCCTTCTTTTTATACGTACTGCTCTTTTCGCAGTGTCGGCAACTTCTTTCAATGCATCGATATTAAACCACTGTTTTCTGAAGCCGTATTGTCTTTCTGATAGTCCGCCGGCTTCCTGAATTGCAATCTTCAAGCGTTTTCTTATTATGCTTTCGTACACTTTTCCCATTATGGCGAGCATACGCAGAGGTCGATACAAGGAGAGATCATCTGATG